TGCACACAGATCATGCAAGGCCTTGGAACCTCCCCACTCCTTGCTGCTCTCTGTACACAGAGTGGGGAGGCATTTCCGAGATCACACCCTTTAGTGAGGCTCCAGGGTATCATTCCTCACTGCCAAGTTTGCTCTGGAGAGTTCCAGCCTCTGAAGAAACACAGACAGCACTGAGGACATATGAAACATTTAATGTAAAGGCTATGGTCCAGCTGGCTCAAAACTGTCTGTACCTCAGCTGTGGTCCCAGCTGTGACTACACAGTCCAAACTGTGTGTGCGTGCAGTGTGTGTAAGACAATAAATTTTGGCAGTAATTATTTAAGGGAGAAGAATCAGATCTAAACTAGATCTCATGGTAATTACCTCACAGTTTCTGCCACATCTGGAAAGGTACTATGATCTTCCTCTCCCTAAAGTAGACAAAGTTAAGAAATAAATTAATGATTGTTCATCTTCTGCAGCCTTGCATTTTTTCCTTTTTTGTTTTTATATAATGAATGACAGACACACTTCTGGGCCTTTGTTTTGTCTCCAAAAGGTGAAAAAGGAGATTGGGGATGTGACCATCCTGGTGAACAATGCTGGTGTGATCACAGCTGCCGACTTCCTCTCAACTCAGGACCACCAGATAGAAAGAATGTTTGAAGTCAACATCCTTGCTCACATGTGGGTAAGGGCCACTACCATCTCCATACCTACATTTTTGGGGAGCATTGTTGAGGAGACCTATTTAAAGTAACCCTTATTACCAGTGAATTACCCACATGTCTTTTGGATGTGTACAGTACAAGGACACCCAAGCAGACTGTCAGGTGGGAAACTTGAACAGCCTCTTGCTGATCTGAGCAGACTGGTGACAGCCTCATGTGCAGCATCTGTCAGAGCTGTACTGAGGCTTACAGAGTGGGGGGTTTCAGCTGTTAAGCAATATTTGTTTGCAGCTGAAGAGAAGCTGCAGGTTGACAAGTGTTTTATTGTACGTGCTGGGGGTGAGACACTCTCAGCATTGCCGGTGAGACCTGAAACCTAAAAAGCAGCAGAGGAAAGATGTGAAAATGAGATCCTGTTTATAGCTGACTTCCTGAAACATTTGCAGAGCAGGTTGCCAGATGCACCAGCTGATCTGGGAACAGGTATCCCTGTGGCTCTCAGACTGTGAGGTGCTGTGCAGCACAAAGCATTAGTCTCTTAATGACTGATATTTAGGGTCAGTTTTGAATATGCCTAAGAAAACATTGTTCTTCTCTTCTTTCCTGCCCCCTGCATTTTTGCCTCTTGGATTAAATGACTTTGAAGACAACAAGAGCTTTTCTGCCAGCCATGATGAACAACAACTATGGGCACATTGTCACGGTGGCTTCGGCAGCAGGTCATTTTGGGACTTCTTTCATGGTGGCTTATTGGTAAGTGATTTTTTTAGTCAGCTCGCTTTTTTTTTTTTAATTTTTAATCATGTCTTCTCCATCAGAAAATACCAAGTTATTAGCCCTGACTGAATCGGGAGCAATGCTTGTATGAAAGAATAATCATTTGACACATCAAGTAATGAAAGATTTTCTCTTATTTTCTCTCCATCACCAATCCAGACTTTTGCTTAGCAAAAAAGGTATCCTTCTCCCTTCTTCTTACAACATATCGATTCTGTGATTTGTTGTAGTGTTGGCACGTAAACCCCTAGTAAGTAGTTTTTGATCCTTTTACCTTTGTGGCAGTGACTGTAGTGTATAGAAATAGAAACTTTGAGGTTGGAAGAGACCTTTATGATCATGAATTCCAACTGTGAACCCAGCACTACTGCTGCAACCCCCAAACCACTAAACCACATCACCCAGCGCTAGATCCAGAGACCTCTTAAACAGCTGCAGGGATGGTGACTTCACCACCTCCCTGGGCAACTTATTCCAATGCCTGACCACTCCAGTAGTGAGAAAAATTTTCTAATATTTAATGTGAATCTCCCCTGTCTCATCTTAAGGCTGAGACTCATCTGCCTGTTCATCCTGGTCTATAACAGACTCCCACCATTATGTCTTCCCTTCTGACCTTCCCCCTGATCTTCTGCCATCATGACATAAAATTACTTTTTTACTTGAAACATGTTGGGAAAATCATGGTGCATGCACAGAAAACCTATTGGACTGCATATTGTCATTCTGCATCACATCTAACCTTCTATAACAGCAGCTCCAGGTGCAGCAGTCTTCCCCTGGGAACACTCCTTCTTAGAGAGTCACTCCCTGTTGGCAATGTGAGAACTCCCCAGCCAGGGATTTTAGTGGGATTACACTGTCCAAATCAATAACAGTCAATAAACTAATTCTCTGGTTCTCCTTTCCTTGGAATTGACTTAAACTAGAGGCACACACCAATTTCTGTGGCACGTTGTTCCTCAGTTTTGCTTGCATAATGCTCCTCTATTTCAAAAGTCACACACAACTGTTACAAGATGCTCCTGTGTGATATAAGAAACAGTAGAGGGTTAATCTTCTTTTCTATCCTGCCCATACTTCTTAATTTTAGAGATTCAGGCTGCATTCCTTCTAAGAATCTTCTCACATGGATAAATCAGAATGTCTGTCTATCAGTGCACATTAGTTATTGTTTTCTAAGAATTCCTTAGTCTGTTTGAAACCAAGGTGACTTTTTTTGAGACATCTGCTGTGCATTCCACAATTACTCCCCAAGCTGCAATATCTAATCCAGCACTACATCCTGGCACAGGGGAAGTTAGAATTAGTCCCTGCCCTGTCTCTCAGCTGGATTACATTATTTTGAGGGGGTTTTTGCCTCCTAGCCTGTACTGTATGATTGTTTAGGCCATTTACAGCTGTAGAGAGTTAGAAATACTATTTATGCCTTCTAATTTGTGCTTCTTTCCCGTCCTGCAGCTCGAGCAAGTTTGCTGCAGTTGGATTTCATAAAGCTCTGACAGAGGAGCTGTCTACCCTGGGAAAGGACGGAATAAAAACCACGTGCCTTTGTCCGGTTTTTATAAACACTGGATTTGTCAAAAACCCCAGTACAAGGTACCTCAATGCTCTATGTTCCTGTCCTTCCTTCTTTGCACTAAGGCACTGCATAATATCCCCAGCTTCAGGCCTTCTGTTCCAACTGACTGTATAATAACAGTGTGTATAATTGTCTAAAGAAGTGTCCTTTAACCCACATAATGGCTGCATTTGAATTACCTGAGTTTGTGCATATGTGAAGCATCCTTGTGAAGCTTGTACCACCTCTTTTCACCACCACAGCTCTTACACGTGTGCTTTCCTTTACAGGCTTGGAAAGATTTTGGAGATTGAAGAGGTTGTAGAGGCTCTGATGGAAGGAATAGTGACCAATCAGAAAATGGTTTTTGTTCCATCAAATCAGAAGGTCGCTTTACTGCTTGAAAGGTAAGTAGAAAAAAAATGTATCAACAAGTATCAACTATAACTTGCTGAGTGCACCACCCTCAGACTTGTAAAATCTGATTCAGTTATTTTAGAACACATCACAAGGTAACTAATAATGCAGTGGTTCTTTCTGGTGACAACAGCAGATGTCATACACAGTTATTTTTTTGAGCCCTCTTGTAGGTCCTTCTAATCCACTTGCTGCAGATAACTGTTCTCAGTGGAGAGCTCAACTGCTCTACAGACCAGTAAGGAAAGAGAGGGAGAACAAGAGAACAGTTTTTCTTCACAGATTGCTATTTCCCTTCTGGAAATACCACATTCTCTGAAACAGCACCCCCAGTGTAGTTCCAAAAAGAGCTGAGGACTTGCTGCTTATTAGTGTTTGTTTCTTCATATCAACACCAAAGATTGAGGCCACGAAGGCTGGAAAATGGCTTTAAAATGGCTCCATTTTTAGCTCTGCTATGTAAAGGAAGATTTGTCCTCTCACACATCTTTAATATCCAGGGTAGCCGCTCTGCTGAGGAGGTGTTTTCATCAGAGCTCAGGTTCCAAACCTAGAATTAACATCAGAACAACTAAATTTAGTTTTCAGTTATCTTCTACAGTATGTCATGAAACTCTTAGTAATCTATTATTTGCAAAAGCCAGCAAACTTGGGCCTAACCCTAAATTTCTTTATATGAGGAAGTGTAAAGATGTTTGGGTTTGGTTTTTTTCCTCTCAAGGATTTCCAGATTAACCAGATAACATTTTGAAAGCAAAGAGAAAGAAAATGCACGTCTATGTTCAGTATGAAAAGTTCCTGGATTCTGCAGCAATATCATGTCCAGTGCATACCTGTCCCAGAATTGTCATAAAAGGAGATGGGTGGGATTGGAGGTAAAACTAGTTGAGATTGATGAGGGCTACATATGCTTTGGAAATAATGCCCAGTTTAAGACTTAGTCCGTGTCTGTGCATTCTGCTCCCAGACCACTCTTCCGTCACCTGCAGTGCCACTTTTCCCCATAATTTAAGTATTTCTTATCCCACATTTAATTTCATGTTATTACCTCTTTCAGAGTGTTTCCAGAACGTGCCCTGAATGTTCTGAAGAAGATGACCGATGTCAAGTTTGATGCAATCATTGGGCAGAGAAGCACCCAGTGAAAGCCAAGAATTGATTCTCATTTCGCAGTGGCCATGTGTGAAAACAGAACATGTGCTGAGGGTAGTTCAGCTGGTTTGATACAGAACAAAGACAGGTGCTTCCAGGCCACCATTTCCAAGCACACAGAAGGATTTATCCCGCACCTGCAGCAGGAACACACCTGCATAACATGGAGTGTTAGCAAAGCAGAGATGCAGCTCTAAAAGTCTAAAGAACTGCTTTCAGTGTACATCACATTGCCTCTGTCTCGTAGTGTTGAGGCAGACAGGAATTCCCTCAAAGCCTGTATTTGGCACAGCACAGCTGCCTATTTGAGTGCCAAGGGATTGCCTGAGAATATGTTAATCTGGACTCATCTCTGAGCAAAGCTGTCTTGCAAGAAGGAATTTATACAGCAGGTGGGTGGCCTGTTTCACCTCAATTTATATTTTTAAATGTACAATGAATTTCACATACTTTTGTAGCAAGTACCTGAAACAATATAGGTGTGTATGTTATATAATACCTAATTACATCAATTATCAATTATGAATGAGCACCATCAATATGCCTTTATATGAATAAATAGAGTTCTTTAACACAAAGAACATGAAGTGTCTCTCGGCAGTGAAAATCATAAGCACATCCTAGAGGTGCATTTAAGGTGTGGTATGAAGTAATACACCTTTCCCTGTATCATTTCTGCCACTGCTCATCTGCAATTCCCAGACGCCTTTAAAACACTTTCCCATGAAAACAGCGCAGTATTTCTCTACAAATTGCTGGGTGCTCTCCTGCATTTCATGCATGCAGGAGAATGTGATTTGTTATGTGAGAACATAGACTAAGTTTGACAGTTTTCCTCTTTACATTACAAGGCAATGAATCCAACTAATGAAAATTCTGCAGTCTGTCTGTGTCATAAGTCAGACTCGTGTTATTAAAGAAAAGAACAAGGTTATGCCGAGCCAGGAAAGCCTTCATTTGCATGCAGCAGGTGAGTTTAAGTTGAACTCCACTCATGAAAACTCCTGAATACGTCTTCATTTCAACTAATTAACATGTCACAGCACAAAGTTAAACCCATACAGGCACTGGATAACACATGTGCCTCCATATACCTCTTTTCCGTCCATGTCTTCCAACATGTGCACCAGGCTGAGGGTTTATGTTTTCCACTCCTATGAAATGCTGCCTTGCTACTGGAGAAAATGCTGCAGCAACAACATCCCTGTGTAATCTTGGACTTTAATTCCCAGCTGTGCTGTGCCCCTTCCAGGTGCAAGGGAGCAGTGGAGTAGGGACTCTTGGCAGGAGAAGGCATGTCAGGTGCTGGGGGCAAGGCGGGCATCACACCAACGTGACACCACCCCACTGCTGCTGGGTAAAGACAGCGGAGCAGATGCTGCAATGGTGGAAGGGTCAGCCAGAGCCTGCCAACCACCAGGCCAGGCTGCAGGGATGAGGCAGGTCCCGTGGTCCCACCAGGAAGTCACATCAGGATCAGTGAGGTACAGGGCCAGGCATGGCACACCACCAGCACAGCCCACACAAGGGCTGGGGCCAAGGCCAGGGCGTAAAGGTGGGTGCCAGGGCAGAGGGTACACGGGAAAAGGCTCCAGATGCCTTTGCTCAGCTCCTCATCACAAGCCAGTGGCCTGATCTGATGGGACCCACCTTGACCAGGAGGTTAATCCCTCAAAGGCCTTCAGCCTGTGGTACAAGAGAGCAGCAGCTGATGAAACACGGGTCAAAGACCCCTTTGGAGCACAGATTATCTGTGCACCTACTTGTGCAACTCCCAACCACTGCAGGGACTTGCTGGCTCACAGCCATCTGAGGGAGGCCTGAATACGCTGCCACCTTTGGCACATTTGGAATCCATCCTGCTCACCTGAGCATTTCTAGTTGTCCTGTAAACAGAAAAAGGTGCAATATGGTCCAGTGACTCCAAAGAAAAAGCTCAAAAAGACCCCTGAGATAGACAAGTCAACATCCTGATGACTAGGTTCTCTTGTCATACTGGCTTCAGTAGGACACATC